TCATTTATCCCTACACAATACAGTGTAAAAACCATTTACATAGTATTTACATTGCATCTGTTATATTTTATCATAATGCAGACATAATTTAAAGGCTTGAAAGGTACATAAGTTATAGGAGATAATCACTTCTGGTTTTTGTGTCATTGCCTAACAGAAGAAACACTGTGATATACTGCTATAGAAGTAAAACAAATGCATTTAAAGTATAGGTAACTGCTAGACATTGCTTAGTGTGGGATAAATGGCATGCTTGCATGTGACCACCAGAGCTTAGTAATAGGCTTGCCTTTTGTTTTTTTTTTTTTGGGGGGGGGGTCTTTTTTTTTAAGTTATCAGAGCATTCTGTGTTTACAAAAGCTACTCTTATTTTTCCTTAATGTTTCTAATTTTGTTATTATTTTCTTTGGGTTTATATGGAGTGGGAAATGTCAGCTATTACGATCCAACACTAGTAACTGAATACCTATTTCAGCCAACAGGACTTCTGCAGTATGTCTGTGAGCAGTGCCCTGATACACAAGGCCAATGCCAACCACCGCAGCCACTTGGACATTGTGAGGAACATCAAGTTCTGTGGATGTTGGTGGTAAGAGAGCAGGAATGTGAATACTAAGAAGCCGAGTAATTGACATATCCATGGTGCCAAGTTTCGCAGCCGAAACACCAAGTAGCAACCCAATGCTTGTCATTTCGTGGCCCTAAGATGAAAAACAGAATAAACCTTAGATACTACCAAAACAAATACTGGGAATCTCTAAAGAACATTATGTTTAAGCGTTTATAATAGAGCCTGAACACATTAGCAGAAAAGGGACATGCAAGTTCAGATGGGAGGAGCAATGGAACTGTGGTACAAAGGCTGGAGAAGTAAGATGGCACACAGGCTCCCAGAAGTGACTAGGAGCAATGGCAGCTCATGACATAGTTGAGTGAAAGAGACACACTGGTTTATACTGTAGAAGAGTCTTCTTCCTACTATGAGACAGATGATTTAGAGAGGCAGGAATAAAGTGAGGCAACCAGAGCAATTAGGAGGCACACATGACACAATGCTAGCACAGGGATCACAAGTTCTCACCTTGGTCAAGTAGTCATGGATATTAAGAGTAGCCAGCTTGGTAAGGTGCCCATTCAGACCCAGGGCCATGAGAAAGCCAGCATACTCATTGGCTAATTCGGCATGTTTAGGCTTGTTATAAACAATCCAAGCTGAGTCGATCTGGGAGGCAGGGGCTATCTTCAGGCCAGCAGCTACACCATTATGAAAGCTGGCCCAGCTAGTCATGTTGGGCGGCACATCAATGTTCCCACTATTAAGATCTACTGTTGTATTCCGAGGGGGGGCTCGCCCTAGGCAGACAAAAAGAGGAGGTAAATTAAGAGAACAAAAATCTACAAAATCAAAATTTAGATATCTGAAAATAAGGTTGCCTTTATTACATTCAAAAACACATTATTTAAAATAGCTCAGGGTTCGTTCATTTTGCTAACACACATGGGGAAATAAGATAAATGATAACAAATTAACTTTGGTTTCATGTGGTTAAGATTCTCACTGGTCTGCATTATTTTTTTCCAATTGTAGGGAGCTTTATTCAAAACTGATTATTGACATCATAGTATAACTATATGAATAATAAATTCCAATCCAGGCATGATGGCACATGCCTTTAATCCCAGCACCTGGGAGGCAAAGGTAGGTGGATTTCTATGAAATCAGGACCAGCCTGGTCTACAAGGTGAGTTCCAGGCCAGCTGGGGCTACAGGGAGACCCTGTCTCAAAAAAGACCAAAAATAAATAAACAGCATTTTAACAAGAGACAAGGACGTGTACAAATCTTCCCTATCTTTGAATCACATGTTTATGCCTCTCCACATATAGATATATAAGTATGAAACCATATGCTATTCTTAAAAATGGCAAATTCAGGACTGGAAAGATGGTTCCATGATTAAGAACACTTGCTGCTCTTCAAGAAAACCCAGTACAGTTCCCAGCACACACATCACATGGCTAACAACCACCTGTAACTCCAGCTCCAGGGAGTCCAATGCTCTCCTTTGGCTTCCACAGGCACCTAATATATACACACACAGACACTTAAACATACACATAAATAAACTGAAAAAAAGAAAATTAGTAATAGCCTATATTCTATTTCCCTTGATGTTTATTCAGCTTGATTTGTGTTACAATTTGAATATGAAATATCCCCACGGGTTCATGTGTTTGAGTACTTGGTCCCCCCAGCTGGTTGGCAGCACTATTTTGGGAGATTCTGGATCTTTGGGGAGCCAGTTGGGGGTAGCCCAGGCCATAAACGTAGGTTTATGGTCCTGTCTGTTTCCTGAATGTCCAGATCTGAACAAGCTCCAACCACAAGCTATTCCTACTGTTATGCTTTCCTCACAACCATGGACTATATACCCTTAAACCATGATTCAAAATTAATTCTTCCTTCCTTAAAAGTAATACAATTTGCTTTTTGAGGTTTGACAGTCACTATAGCAGCTATTAGTGCTTAAAATCAGTAAAGATTGAGGGAGCATGTCTTTGAACTAAAATAATTCAAAAGGAAGACACACACACACACACACACACACACACACACACACACACACTTGCATATGTGGTTTTTGTCCTTTGGCATGAGCCCAGAATTTAACATACCTGTCAGATTCAATTTAGGAATAGGCAATGGTTCCGTTGGAACAGGATGGTATGAAAATAAGGTAAACATTCCTCGTCCTACTGGAAGAGCCATAGTTCGCTGACACAACTGAAGTAATCTATAATTAAAACACAAAAATATGAAAACTGTTAGTCGGGCGTGGTGGTGCACATCTTTAATCCCAGCACTTGGGAGGCAGAGGCAGGTGGATCTCTGTGAGTTCAAGGCCAGCCTGGTCTACATAGTGAGTTCCAGGACAGCTGGGGCTACAGGGAGACCCCGTCTCAAAAAAGAAAAAAAGAAGAAAGAAAGAAAAGAAAACGGTTAACATCACTGGAAGCATCACTGAAAAACTATCAGTAGGTAATTATTCCAAAAGAGGGACACTGGATACCAATGAAGTCATCACAAAGTAACTTTATACAAGGATACAGGTGAACCACCCACACACAATTATTCTTACTCTTATTCTTATTGGAGACTCTGAAGGGGACACACTGAACTTTCTTTACTCACTTTTAGTGAAACCCAATTCTCTCAAAGTGTTCAAAAACTGAAATTTAAAATTATACTCTGAGTGATGCTAACCTTTTGGAAGGAACTATGGTGGGGGGGGGGCAGGGGGAAGCTGTCATCTTTGTGTTATTTTCATTCTAGCAGCCCTCAGTACACTTAGGATCCTCTTCTCATTCCTTACACCAATACTGTCTCAGAAATGCCAATAACTACCTCTGTGGTTTGTACACAAAGACAGAAAGTAAACAGATTTTATGTCTCCAAAATAAAGTTAGTCTCACTCACATGACTTAGCATACTTACAAGACAAACAGTACTACATAGAGAGTATGTTCAGGGTTAAAATGGCTTTCATGGGCTATACTGAAAAACTAACACACTTCTCTTGTTTCTACACTGAATTACTTTTTAGCCAGATCGGCCATAAAGACAAAAACTAATAAATTTTGGAAACAGACATTCACAACTAAAAAAATGCTTATGAAAGTTGCATTTAGGGCAAAAGAGTCCTTCAGAGGCTAGCAAAGAGCTCTGCAGATAAAGCTATTCATTAATCTTATTTCCCCCTAAATACACACATATACTGCTTTTCCAGATTATTAGAAAAGAATGTTTTACTGTTCTAAGCTTCCTTGGGAATACAGCCAGTACAATAATTTTGAATGCAGGAAATTCAAGGCCAAGAAGCTGGATCTTGTAGGAATTTTTAGTGAAAACTTTATACCCAATCCCATTCAATTTGCAAAAGCCACAAAATTTAAATGATAACAATAATACTATATACCCTAAATTTAAGATGCTTCATGATCTCATTAGATGCTAAGAAGAAATGCTGCCAATTAAACTGACATCTACTGACCAAAACATACATTCTGACTTTAGATATATTACAAAGTTAAAGACATTAAAAAAAAAATATCAGTGCACTATTCATAATGGCTGATGACAGTGAGCTTCACTACAGGATATGTTGTAGTCTAAGTGTCATGTAAAAATAATGGATATGATGCCAATATTTTATGAGGTCTAAATGTTACAATCATACCTGTTCTTACAGCTGAAGCAACTGATAAACTAACAGGTTAAGTAACTTATCAAAACCCATCCAGCAATGGTGTCAAGCCTAACCACAAGAGCCCATGCTACTATGCTCTACCCTCAAAGGTGACTAATCCCTGAGTACAGATGGATAGGAAACAATGGGAAAGAAATTTGTACTGTCTCAGACTTTTAGTGGCCACAGCTAAGTATAAGTGGACCTCCCCTTGAAACAGTACCATAAGAAACAATATCATAAGAAAAAGAAGCTGGGCTGGTGGCACATACCAGTAAATGCAGCTACCCAAGTCAGGAAGATCACAAATCCAAGCCCTGCCTGGGCTACAGAGAAAGTAAGGCCAGACAGAGCAACTTAGTGTATATGATGCTCTAAGGAGGAAGGGAAAGAAGAAGGAAGAGAGAAAAAGAGTGGATGGAAGGTAATGAAATAAGTTTTCTTTACCTGTTTTCTTTCTCTTCAATGAACTCGTGGTCACTGAGTTCTGGGTACTGCACCACATTGACACGGACAGGGTGTGCACTTTGAAGCAGCCTTCGCACATCCTGTACCCTTAAATCTTCACTCCATATTAATGACATAACCTCATGATTCAAGTCATTCATGCCATCATCTTCCTCCTCAGCCTCCGTTCCTGAAGGAACATCTGATGAGAGTACCTGAGTAACAGACTTTATTATAATGATTTAAAGAGCAGCCAGTGTGCACATACTGAATGAGGAATTCACAAGCTATTGGAGCACAACTCCACCACTAGAAAGTCATGTATTCCAGAGCAAAATGAGCAGGCTTCCTCAAGTATACTAGAACACAACCTATAAATCTGAGTTCTTTTGAAATGAGGTCTTACTATGTCGCCCAGGCTCATCAAAAACTCCTGGCCTCAAGTTATCCTCCTATATCTATGTTCTAAGTAAAGTATTGTATTGTATTTAAAGTATTATACTTAAAGTAATATACTTGGAGACATTCTTTATTGAAGGAAAAAGTTCAAATTTAGGGTAATAATCAGGTGGTTGAAACCCATCAAAAGAAACATTCTATATCCTGATCATGTTTTATGATAGGGTTCAGGTCCAGGCGACCCTAGACCCAGAAACCATAAAGCTCCTAGGAGGAACTCAGTCAGCCAACTCCCAGCCACCTGCAAGCTGACAAAAGCAGCTCTGGGAACTGGTGACCCAATGCCTTGTGATCACCAGAGCATGTGCCACAGGCTGACAGCGGGTCCAAGCCCTGAAGCTACAGTGGGTTCCTGGAACCTTGTAATTGTAGAAAGCATGTTTTATAGTAGATGTTTTCCTCGATAAGTTTCACCAGGTACAGGCCCCACGCCCTCCCTGAACAGCCCTCAAACAGCAGAAAAATACTCCCTTTTTCTGTATTCTTTTCCCTTTATAAGCTACCCCTCTGCAGCCATTAGGCTGCTGGTTTCACTCACTCCCGAGCTGAGACCCAGCCCCACTAACGCCCAAATAAACTCTCACTTTGCCAGAGTCCTCTCTGTTTCTGTTTCAAGGTGATCCCAACCCCTGCCGTCTTTTTTCTAACATTTTTTTAATGTTTTTTTTTAATTTATTATTTTTATTTTATGTGTATGAGTGTTATGCCTGCATGTAGTTAAGTGCACCCATGTCATGCAATGCCCGTGGAGGACATAAGAGGATGTCGGATCCCCTGGAACTAGAGTTATGGACAGTTGTTAGCTGCCATGTGGGTGCTGGGATTCGAACCTAGGTCTTCTGCAAGAACAGTCAGTGCTCTTAACTGCTGAGCCATCTCTCCAGCCCTATTATCTAACATTTTTAAAGGAAACAAATTATTCCTCTGGAATATAAGTCTAACTCACTATTACTACAAAACAGATGTCACCTTAGATATTGTCTACTGATTAACAGAAGCAAAAGGAAAAAACCTGCAAGGATATATATCAAAGGTTAAGGGAAGTTGGGTGATACTGTCTTAAAGAAAACATTATGATGTCACTTTTATTTCTAAATATACTTCAAATAAAGATTTCAAAGGAATTGAGTAGACTCTTTTCTCAGTTGCCACTCTGTCCTCAGAGCCTTACCATGTGTTTTCATTATAGGGCTTCCCAGATAATTTAATCTGACTACAATATCAACGTGTATAGTACTCTCTTCACTTTCTCTCAAGAAGTTTTAAACTCCTTCAATAAAAGATTAAATCCTACTTGAAATGTTAAAGTTTTCCAAAACTTAATATTGAGACAAAAATGTCAGCCTGAAAAAAAAAAGGTACACATGACCAGATTAAAAACTAGTATTAAGGGGCTGGAGAGATGGTTCAGTGGTTAAGAGCACTGGCTGCTCTTGCAGAGGACCCGGGTCAATTCCACATCCACATGGTGGCTACGAACCATCCTTAACTTCAGTTCCAGGGGAATCCGAAGCACTCTCTGACCTGTGCAGCATTGCACAACATGGGTGCACTCACATACATGCAGGCAATACACTCATACACATAGAATAAAAATAATAAATAAAATATTTTTTTAAAAAACTAGTATTAAAAGAAACTCTAGTAATATACCACATATCACTTGATCAACAATAGATCACAAACATGATAGTGGTTCCATGAAACAGTATTTATGGCTATGATGTTCACACATCTAAACAGCCTAATGACACATTTCTTAGAACATAGCATATCATTAGATGATACATATTTTTTAAAATATTTATTTTTATTTTATGCATATGAGTGTATTGCCTGCATGTGTGTTAAGTATACCCACACTGTGCAATGCCAGAGGGGTTCAGAAGAAGGTGTTAAGATTTCCCTGGAACTGGTGTTACTGATGGTTGTTAACAGCCATGTAGGTGCTGGGAATTGAACCCAGGTTCTCTGCAAGAGCAGCCAGTGGTCTTAACCAAAGAGCCCTCTCTCTAGCCCATGACTATATATTCTAACAGGTAAGTTTCCTACAAAACATATACCCAAATAGCAGACTCAAATTGAAATTTAGCTTCAAGTAACTGAAAAAACTGAATTTAAATCTTCCTGAAATGACATATAAATGAAGATTAATATTGTAATGTTAACGGTGCTGAATGGCTCTGTGACAAAAGAAACCTAAATGTTAAAGAGTTTATTTTTGTTTGAGGGGAACAGGGTGTCACTATGTAGCCTAGGCTATCCTTGAACTCATAGTGATTCTCATGCCTCAGTCTCCCAAGTTCTGGGTTACAGGCATACACCATCATGCCTGGATTTGCAGACTTTGATGTCATGACTCAAAGGCTAATGGGATAACTGAATTCTCACTGCTTTCTCAGAGACATGAACAAAGTAGAGAACTCACCAGGAGTAGATTCACCACTCCTGAATCCTCAACTGAGGTACTACTAATTAGAGTTACATAAAGTTCTAAAAGTTTTAAGTATTTCCTTTTTTATATTTTTTAATAATTCTTTATTTTTTTAAAAAATATTTTATTTATTTTTAATTTATGTGTATGAGTATATTGCCTGCTTGTATGTGAGTGCACCTGTGTTGTGCAATGTTGAAGATATATTTATTTTTGTAGTGTTAGAGACCAAACTCAGAGCCTCATGCACCCTGGGGAAGCACTCTATTTACTGAGCTACCATCCCAACCCAATTTTTAAATTTGTAACTAAAATATAATTGCACATATTTGGGGGTGCACTGTGATAATTCAGTACATACACATACTGCATAACGACTGGGTCAGGGTAACTAGCACATCTATCACTTCATATATTTCTCATTTCTTTGTATTGGGAATGTTCAAAAACCTCTCTATTAGTTATCTTGATATATCCAATTAACTGTCAATCAGATAGCCACAGTTTCATATAAAATTTACAAGAATCTGATTGTAAAAGAGAAATATTTTACTTTGTTTCGAGGCCTCTTAGAACCCATTCCTAAATAGATTTAAAGAAAATGAAGGGTAGTCTTTAAGGCATTATATAACTTAGTGGAAAAAATATTCTTCCTCCTCTGGCTCCAGTTTCATTATTAAGCAGTAACTAATCAAATATATTTAAACCTACTTAAAATATTAAATTCAATAAATTCAAAACCTGGGGCTAGAGCTCTGGCTCACTGGTAAAGAGCACTGGCTGCTCTTATAGAGGACCCGGGTTCAATTCCCAGCACTCACATGGCAGGTAACAACCATCTGTAACTCCAGTTCCAAGCATCTGAACCCTCTTCTGACCTCTGAGGGCATTACATGACACAGATACACTTACATACATGCAGACAACACACTCATACATATAAAATAAAATAATAAATAAAAACAAACCTCAAAACCTCAAAAAGCCTGAAAGAAAACACTATAACTATCCAAACTGAGGGCACACAGGCCCTTGCTTTTCCTACCTACTATCAGTCACTACTACAGCTACAAGCAGGTAAATAGGCATGGCAGTCACCTCGCTGACTCAGTACTTGTCCTGATACTAGGAAAAGAAATGCCCAGGCAACACAGGCAGTCATTAAGTTTCCAGCTCCTATGTTCAATTTACAATTAATAAGATGTGTTCGACCATAAACTCCATCTGGCTTATAACATAAGACAAACTGATAGGTACAGAAACAAAAATCTAAAGCTGTAAAGAAAAAAAAATGAAGAACATTTCCACTTTGATTTTATTTAGGCTTCGAATTTTCTGTGTTGATACTCACAGATTTCCCTCTGGGTAAATTTCCTTCACAAGCCTGCTTGGAAAGATCCTGACGTCCAATCAAGAGACAGACAGCTTCTGGCCAATCTGAAGCGGGCTGCTCACGGCAGTGATATATTGCATCTCTGATGGGAAGAGCAATTCCAAAGGGAAGAGTCTCCAAATCTCTTAAAGTGAATCCTTTGGAGTAAAACAAAGAGAATTTTCTTTTAATTTGCCACTTCCTCAATTAGCCTCAACAAATATTAAAATCAACCAATACTAAGTGCTGGCAAGTACATGAAACAACAGTTAAATCTTATCTCTAATTAAAGATGGCAGAAACTAGCACAATCACTTTGGAAGTTGATATATAAAGATAACTCCACTCCTCTAGTCTAACACAGTCACAAAGAACCTTGTGCATATATGCACCAAGATATAAAACTTACAAATATCAAATAGGAATATTATTTCATTATGTCAAAAAAAATAGGAAAAGGGGCAAGTCCCATTGTATTATCTGTTATTTCAATAAAATGACTTACAGCTACATGAATCAACATGGGTGAACACCTGGATGCTTATATGTACATGTACAAGAAGTTCAAAATCATACATTACTAAGCAAAATATAAAGATGAATAACTGAAGAAAAGCAAGGCAAAGGTAACACATAGGCAGTGGCTCCATATAGTGGTGGGGTGTGTGGGAGGGGATGTAACAGGCAGCAGACACACAGGAACTTCAACTACACTGGAGTCATGTTCCATTTGTAAAGGCGGATGACCAATAATCAATATTCACTTTGGTATTAGTCTATAGACAGATATATTTCACACATTCTTTTGTATGTTTAATTCATATTTAAATCTTTAAAGTTCTCAGGCTAATTCAAACTTCTTTTTCCAGTAATACATGAATAATGATATTATGCATTATTTATACTACAGAAAGTTGACCAATTATTGAGACAAAAATATCTCATTCTATAAGAATAACATTCGTACTAAATATTAAGTGATATATATTGGAAAGAGCTCATCCAGTATTTTTCATTTAAGTACACTCTCTCTCTCTATATATATATTAATATATATTTATATATACATATGTAATATATATAAAGGTAATTAACATTTCTAAAGGTAGCATACAAAGACCAGTGAAGAACTCCACTGAGAACACACTTCATATAAGCATTAAGAAACACCTAGCATGGTGGCACACACCTTTATCCCCAGCACTCTGAAGGCAGAGGAAGGTGAATTTCTGTAATTTCAAGGCCAGGCTGACCTACAGAGTTCTAGGTCAGCCAGGGATCTACAGTGAGACCCTGTCTATCCATGTTCAGATGCCAAGGAGCTCAGAAAGTAACCGGCTGTGACTAGTAATAATCAGATATATAGAGATTAGAAATGCATGTGCAAACATCTTAATGTCAACTGCATTAAAAATGAATTTTTCTGTATGAAACTCTGTATTTTAATAATGAAATGGAGATCTTTTTTAAGAGTGAAAACCTCATTTAGTTTTATGTCTTAAAGGGTTATACTGAGTACAATATTGTATAACTGTAATAACTCAACTGTAAACCTAAAACTTTACAGCCAATTTTGAAAGAGATACATCTTAGCTCAGGAAAATGTTACGGAATATGTCAATGCTGTTGTAATGAAATGCTTCTTCTAAGTATGTGGTTATTAAATAAATCGTTAGAAAAAAAAAAAAAGAAGTAGGAAACACCTTCCAATATTCACTAATTTTTTGAGACGGGGTCTATGTTGCCCTGGCTGGCCTGAAACTCACTAGGTAGACCTGGTTGGTCTTGAACTCATGATCAGCGTGCCTCTGCCCCCTGAGTGCTGGGATTAAAGGTATGCTCCATGCCTAGCAAGCATTACTTTTTTTTTTTTCTTTTTTGGTCTTTTTTGAGAGAGGGTCTCCCTGTAGCCCCAGCTGTCCTGGAACTCACTATATGGACCAGGCTGGCCTTGAACTCACAGAGATCCGCCTGCCACCACACCCGGCCAAACATTACTTTTTAACATGCTATTTTGTATAACATCCTCAATTTTTTGTCATAAACTTATATCAGTAACTTTTATTTTTTTTCAGTTATTTTTGAAAACAAGTCACTTTACTGTACTTAAAACCTAGGAGTATGAGCTGGGCATGGTGGTACACACCTTTAATCCCAGCACTTGGGAGGCAGAGGCAGGTGGATCTCTGTGAGTTCGAGGCCAACCTGGTCTACAAAGTGAGCTCCAGGCCAGCTGGGGCTACAGGGAGACCCTGTGTCAAAAAGAAAAAAAAAAAAAAACAGAAAGAAAGAAAAAGTGGAGAAAAGACTCTGAGCTCCTTTTCCTCCCTTCTTGTCAGCCACATGGCCATTCATCGTAACGCCTAAAATCTCTGGACTTTATCTTTGAAAACATACTCTGAAATGTTTATACAATGAGTTTTAGACTGTGCCAGAATACCCATGTCTAATTTCTAAGTCTTTCAGTAGCTTCACATTTGAATGTGCAGTAATTAAAATTCTCCATTCTGAGACCAGTTTACAGAGCAACAGCCTCCCCTGGTCCACAGTGAATAAAAATAAAGATTTCTTATAAAACATGAGACAAAAAGCTAGTATCCCAGCCACTCTACTGTACCAAGCTGTGGACTGTGAGGAAAATAAGCTCCATTTGATAAACCATAGTGTCAATCTTAGCCCTTTACAGAAAGCCAGACTCTCTCCTCATGCCCCCAATTCTAGCTAGTGGGAGGGAAGCAAGACCTAGTTAAGAGGAAACAACATAGCTCTTACCTACACTGGTCATCCAGACAACTAATCTTTCAGCTAGGCTAGAAACTGAAGAATGCCGGAAACTAAACCTACAGAGAATAAAATACAAAGGTATAAAACACAAACAAACACATAATACCATTCCAAATTTTAAATATAAAGGCACAATCTGTATATAAATTACCTATTTTCTTCTTGTTCTGCTTGTGACTTTTGGGATGCTGAAGGCAACAAATTAAAATTTTATTTTGATAGTCATCATGATAAAAAGAAAACAACATGCAAAAAATATTTAGAAGAATTCACTACCAACAAAAAAAACTCTTAAAAAATAATAAAGAAAACAGTACTGTGACACAGTGCAAATTACACTAATTTCCTTTAGGTTAGTGAAGTCCTCCACAGCCACACTGAAAACAGATGCAAGACCTGTCAGATTTTAAGTAACCCAGTATTTGAAATTCAGTTGCAGATTATAGACTCGAACACAATAAAGAGGCAAGCATTCATGAGCATTTTCACATTCTTCTTTCCATGTGCACAATTAGAAGTGTTTGGGGAGGCAAACGCTGTCACAACTTACTTAGGGTTATTTTGCATAAATACTGGGAGGCTTCATCAGAAACACAGCTCTCATCACCAAGGATGTACAGTGCAACACTCTGCAGAAGAAAATGAACCTGTTATTTGATATTTTCACTTTAAATTTTTGGTTGTTTTTTATGGTTGTTTTGGTTTAAGTTCGTTTGTGTGTGTGTGTGTGTGTGTGTGTGTGTGTGTGTTAGTCTCATGTACCCCAAAGTGGCCTCAAAATTTCTATGTTGCTAAGGCTGCTGTAGAGCTACTGATTCTCCTGCCTCTACCTCCTGACTGCTGGGATTACAGGAGTGTACCACACACCTAGCTAAACTTTTTTTCAGTCTTTTTAAGCATGGTCTCCTTGTAGCCCCAGCTGGCATGGAACTCACTGTGTAGACCAGGCTGGCCTTGAACTTGCACAGATCCGCCTGCCTCTGTTTCCCGAGTGCTGGGACTAAAGGGGTATACCACCACACCCCACTCTGAACTTATTTTTTAAACCACTGAGGTACAATTAGGAAAGAAAAACACAAGAAGAACGTGTATTTTAGAAATACACTTTGAGTTTGGACACACTATAAAATCAGATGACTACTGCCACTCTCCATATAGAACAGCTGCACTGTACCTAAAACCTCTCTCATGCTGTCAACTCTTTCTATGCCAATGCTAGAATAACTCATCTGTTTTCCTGCCCCATAGTCTCAACCATCCAAGGACATTATGTAAATGGAACCATACAAGGTCAAGTCTTTCCTATTCTTTCATAAGGTACACAGTGAATGAGAGTCAATTACTCTTTGCTTCTATCAGTTGTTTGTGGCTCTTCGCTGTTGAGCAGTATTCTATTATATACATGTACAAAACTTTGTACATCTACTCAAAGTGATGGAAACAGGGATTGTTTCCAGTTTGTGTCACTTAGAAAACACAGTTCAAGCACTCACAGTCAAGGTCTTTGTGTTGCCATGCACTTTATACCAAAAAGTAAAGTGCTTTGTATTATGATAAATACATGTCAAATTTTACAAAATTTTGGATCATTTTTTGTATTCTCATCAGTAAAGTAAGAGTTTCAGCTGTTCCATATCCTCATCAAAACTTGTTTCCAGTCATCGTAATAGTATCCTGGTAGTATATAATAGTAGTAGCTACCTAGAAGTTTCCTATTTAGGCTTTCATTTGTTCTGAAATATTGTTTACTCACAAATACCCCCAAAAATAGCAAAACAGTTCAAATGACTTAAGGTCATTCACTAGAAGGAAGTTATTATTTCTTTAAGATGTGTGTGTTGTGTGTACATATTCCTATGAGTCTGTGGTGTGGGCATAGACATGCACATGGATGTGCATGTGGATGTGTGCATACCATGGCACAGGAGTGGAAGTCAGAATGACCTCTGGTGTTAGTCTCACCACCTAGCTTGCTTGAGGCTGAACATCTTATTCACTACTAAGTAAACTGGGGCTGCAAGCTTGTGGTGACTCTCCCATCTCTGGCTCCCCTTCTGCCTGTAGGCACTCTGGAATTACAGATGTACACTAACGCATTCAGCTTTACATGAGTTCTGGGGATTCTAACTCCTTACAGCTGTATGGCAAGCACTTTATCTACTGAGCCATTTCCCCAATCCTAGGAGGTAATTATTTAAAATATATGGCCTCTGCTCATCAAAGGAGAAGGAAGGAAGGAAGGAAGGAAGGAAGGAAGGAAGGAAGGAAGGAAGGAAGGAAGGAAGGAAGGAAGGAAGGGCCAGTCAGGCATG